GGGGCGGGGCGGGGCGGGAGGAGCCGCGCTCCGGAGCGGGAGGGAGATCCGCCGTGGAGTTACGGGAAAGTTGGTCCGAGTTCCCGGAGTTTCCCCCTGTGGTTACCCGGGCTCGGCTGTCCGGTGCCCCGGCTCCTTTCCTCCCTCTGGCCTCTAGGGTCCACCCGCTCCCTCTTTCTGCTCCGGACCGCCATGGAGCCACCGCCGGCGCCCAGGAGGTGAGGAGCGCGGGACCCGGGAGGCGAAGGGACGGGCGCTGGCGGCCGCGGGCGGGGGTGACTAGGCCGGGGCAGCTTCCCGAGCCCCCTTCCCCGTCAGCGGGCCATGCCGCAGGTCGGGAGGAGCCCGAGTGCTCGGCGAGGCCGGGCGCGGGGTCGGAGCGGCGTCTCCGCGGCCGGCGGGGCCTGGCGCGGGGGAAGCACGGTGGGCAGCGTTGGCTCCGCGGCCGGGGAGGGGACCCTCGTGCAAGTTCGCGAGGCCCGGAGGCCTACAAGGAGGACGTACTTGGTCCTCTTACGGCGATGTATCTTACTTGTCAAATGTTCTTAATAATATTGCCTCCCCCCCCCCTTTTTTTTTGAGAAAGCGGGTTTATTTACATTTTAAGGAATTAAGTATTAATAGCTACTCTGGGTGAAACTTACTGAGGCTATGCTGTTCTGACAGGTGTTCCTCCCCCTCTCCTCTCAAGTTGGAAAGAATTTATGGATGCGAGACAGTGGGAAACTTAAATTAGAACCCCTCCACCATGCAGTTTTGCTTGTAAAAATAGTGATGCTTGGTATGGCATTTATTGTTAGTTTATATTTAGTCGTTGATATAGTGGAAATGTATGGGTACAAAGTAGATGTGTTTGAACTAATATTTGCAGTGCTCTTAGTAAGCTAAATCAATGTTGTCCATTGATGTAACTTCAGAATGTGAATCCTTTCCCCTCCAAAAGGAATCAACTAATTGTTTGATGCTGGACAAAACATTTCATTTTAACCTCAGTCTTTCATTTTTAATTTGTGAAAATAAGGATATTAATCTTTCTCAGAGAAAATGAAAGAGTTCTTGTACTTTGATACTTAGCCATCTGGAGATAAAAGGTGTTTTCAAGAATGTGGAATAATTAAAAAGGTGGGGACTTTGAGACCTATTGTGAATTGTGCGACTAGATAGATATTTGAGCCTTGAGGCCTGAAAACCATCTGGTCAGGTGAAAAAAAAGGAGGTCCTGTAGAGTTTCCAAAAGTCAGCTCTAGAAGCAAGTCAACTGATCTTTTCTAGCATTTTGTTAGGAGTCTGTCTTCCAGTACCCACTGGGCCCCCAGTTTTAATAGTATAGAAGAAAATCAGGAACATTTTTTTTTCTTTATGTTTTGGAGGCATTTCTAAGATAATGCTATAGGCCAAGTTGTAGGAGTTATCAGTTTCATTATAGGTGTAAGAGAATCCTGCCTGTGCAGAGACATTTGACAACCCTGAAGAGTCAGGGGAAGATGTGGGTAGTAATTCCATGGTGATTTGTACTTTTCAAGGTGGTAGATGCTTGTCCATTTCACAGACTTAACTTTTAACTCTCTTTAGAGACATACTGATCCAGGAAAGCCTTTCTTTTTCTTTTTGGTATTTTTCTTTCCCCCTGGAGACAGTCTCCCTTTGTTGCCCAGGCTGGCCTTTAACGCTAGGGCTCAAGATAGATACCCTCCTGCCTTAGCTTCTTTAGTAGCTGGTACTACAGGTGTGCACCCCTGTTGAGGAAGATATTTCTAAAGAGCAAAAGATATGTGGTATTAATCCCACATATTTGAATATCTCTTAAAATTTTTTTCATAGTATTTTCATATTTATAATGTTTAATCCACACAGGAACCCCACAGAGTAGGTTGACTCACAGGCAGTAATCCTATAGATGAGAACACTAAGTTTGCTGCATGGAAGGCTTTGATAGGAGTTATTGATAGTGAGTTTTTTGTGTTGCTCCTTTTGATTATTACCTTTTTACTTATACACTAATGTATCACTTAATAATGAGACTTGTACCAAGAAACTCATTGTTAGGTGGTTTCATTGAGCAAATACCATAGTGTACTTACATAAAGCTACATAGAAGACTACAGTGTCACTAGGCAGTAATTTTCCACACTATCATATATCATCGATTGAAACGTTATGTAGTGTGTGACCATATATATATATATTTACTTTAATCATCTTAGGAAATAGTAATCCTGCTTTTGTCACTTACTCTGTTATTCTAAATTAATATTTCTTTGTTTGCAAACTGTTTGGGATTAAATGAGGTCATAAGTAAAGCAGTTAGCACAGTATTCCATAATGTGTTCAATAACATTGGTAACTTGTGTTTTCCTTATTAAATGAGGTTCAGAGAGAAAATAACTTGGTCAAGTGGAGAAGGTACCAGATTCTGAGTCCTAATTGGTCTCAAAGGCTGGGTACCGTTATATACAGTGATGCCTTTTTGAAATATACTTTCTTAGCATTCCATAATATAGTGGTCATTTTTTTCCACAATCTCTTGGTCTTTTTTTTTAAAATTAATTTTATTGGTATATTTAAGGTATACAATATAATGACATTCATCATTGGAAATTTGCACCTTTACATAATCCATCTTGGTTCTTATTTTTCCCCCATTCCCCTGCCTTCCCTTCAACCCCTGCACCGCTCCCTTTTCTACAAAGATTTTGTTTCCATTTTCTCTTTTTCTCCCTTCTTTCCTTTCCCCTACCCCTCCCACTTCCCCCTCCCCTTTGCACCTTTTCTTCCTATTATCTGTTATACCTTTTAGTCCTTATTTACACTTTCACTTTCTCACACTAGAGAAACGATTCCGTATTTACACATGTGTGTCCTATTTATTTCACTTAAGAGTATCGCCTCAATGTGCATCCATTTAGCTACACAATCTTTTGGTCTTTGGATATTTGCATCTTAATCTCTCTAAGAATGCCATTTAGCTTTTCTACCTCTGGTAGTACTTCCTTCCTGCTCAGACGTGCAGTCAGGTGTATATTGCTGATGTTGAAGACTGACCAGCAGCTCTGCTCAGTTGGCATTTTAAAGTTTTTTTTTGGTATAGGACTACTATTCATTATGCTATCTAGTTTGTTACTACATATTACCAAATTTTCCATTAAAAAGTCTGTGGATTCATTTTTCCCTTGCTTTTTCATTCCCAAGATTACTCCATTCCAGGGTATTATGTTGCTTAACACTTGAATTGCAGCAGTGCCTTCAAACTGGGCACTTTAGTCCAGTGGCTTTCAAAAATAGTTTAACAGAAAAAACAGCAGAAGGGCTTTGTTTGGAGTGGGGGCAGGGCCCTAGGACCTGATTGTTAGCCTCTTGTTCCTTTCCCCCTTTGTTGTCCTACAAAACCTATAGACCACAGTTTGCTTTAGTTTATTCTGCATGTGGCTTCTGATTTTATTTTGCTAAAGCATCACTTAAATTATGTTACTCCTTTTTGGGGGGGGGAGTTACGAATGTACTTCTCTACTTAATATTTGAGGGCTCCATCACTTTATCTCAGTCTTAACTCTCAGCCTTCTTACTGTTCTTCAAGATGAATGTGTTTTCATAAAATTTCTATGTTGTTTTTTATTTAGGTTGTAGGCTATGTGTACTCCCAACTTTGCCTTTTTTCACGCTTTTAGAAAAGTTTGTGTTATTTTTTGACTGTAACCTGTTTTTCATTTTTCCTGCAAGTCCTGTTTCATAAAGTATCTTTTCTTTTTTCTCTCTCTCTTTTTTTTTTTTTGGAGACAGGGTCTCACAATGTAGTTCAGGCTGGTCTTGAAGTCATTAAGCAGCCCAGGCTGCCCTTAAACTCTTGATAATCCTTCTGCCTCAGCTTCTTGAGTGCTGGAATTATAGGTGGGTTTCACCATGCCTGGTTTTCTGAGTATAGTACTTTTTTTTGAGACAGAGTCTTGCTGTGTAGTTCAGACTGGTCTTGAACTCACTATGTAGCCTAGGCTGGCCTAGAACTTGCAGTAATCTTCCTGCCTCAGCCTCCCAAGTGCTGGGATTACAGGTATGTGCTACCACCTCTGGCTGAGTATCATGCTTTCTAGCCAGAAATACTTTGTTGCATTCCCATATGATACTCATTTGATTATATGAGATCTTTTTATTTTTTATTTTTATTTACTTTGTTTTTTTTGTACTGGGGATCGAATTCTGATCTTTGTGCTTGCGGGGCAGGCAGCAGAACCACTGAGCTAAATCCCTGGCTCTATTTATTTTTTACAAAATTTTAGACATCCAAAAGATAGTGGGCACTAATTTAATAAATAATTTATGAATCATCAACCAGCTTTAATAAGAGAAAAATGTTACCAATACATTGAAATCCCCTGTGTGTATCTCTTCCTGTTCCCCAAAGGGTGATCAATATGCTGAATTGAGTATTTGTCTTTCCCATGCATGGCTGTATTTTTAGCATGTTTATTTACACATCTGTATATCACATGCATAAACACATGTCTTAAGCTCACCTTTGTTACTAACTTTGAAATTTACTTCTTTGAGCATCATTCTCTCAGAGTTGGAGATTCTAGTGTGCAGTCAGGTTTAAGAATCATAACTTAGAGTTCAGATAATCTGTAAAGCACCCTTTTTTTTTTTTTTTGGTACCTGGGATTGAACTTGGGTCCTTCCGCCTGCAAGGCAGGCAGCAGAACCACTGAGCTAAGTCCCCTGCCCTGTAAGGCACCTCTTATTCTTTATTTATTGATTTGGTTTCCTTAACAAGGCTTGTGTAAACAGGCAATAAATGTGGTCATCCCTGTCACTGGGGTATCAGAATGACTCTTGTTTCCTCAGATTTCCTTAACAGGTTTGTTCCAGAAGTCTTTAGAAGTGTAATGTTGTTGGAGGATATGTAGTTTTATACAGTACTTGTCAGAGGACTGAGTATCATTGCATTGGAGAGAAATACTGTACTTATTACAGTCCTGTACTTACAGGACTTATTCTCGAACTAGATTATAAGATTAGTAGTTGCTTAAAATTTTCTGATTGAGGTATAATTGGAAGAAAAGTTGGTGTGGAACAATGCAGATATTGGCTGGATAATAAGTAAATTATTGCACTGTACTCTCAAGTCACATGAACAGAGTTTTTGTAATTTAAGTAACAGTCTGTGACAAGTTAAACAAGAAAGGGTAGTTCTGGGCAGTAAAGTTGAAGATTGAAGTAGAAATGTTTGGGTTTCAAAATACATTCATAATGAAAAGTGAAGGTAAGAAAACAATCATGATAGCAAATGTTGCTATGAATAGATGGAATATCAGTTGGAAGATAGGTTGTTATAGTTGAAAAAGCAGAGGTATAAGGTTGGGGATATAGGAGGG